CCGCAGCGTCGTGACACCGATATAAACGACGCGATGAAAATTTTTACCTCGATCGCGAACAGCTCGGTCGTTCGGATCTCGTGGATCCGTACGCATGGTGGCTATTTCTTCTCCGACCCACTTCCGCGGCACGCAGCGCGACGCGCGGTGGTGCCATTTCTCGAAAAGCTGGTCATAACTCATCCTTTCAGAAGATTTTCAGAAAAATTCGTATCCTAGTAATTAGATTGCGGATCTTTATGTATCTATGGCATGAGCCGACTCGTAAAATGGAAGAAAACGCATAAATTAACAAGAATTACTAGCAATTTTACGAACAAGTATCTTTTATTTGACGAAGAAAACTTTTTAATAAAAATACACAGTTACACTAATACAATAAATTCTCCCTAGTTGTTCTTCAGCTTGTACACAAGAATGCACAATTTGGTAAGAAGTGATACGATTATTCGAGCCTTGCACTCCGTTTTTATAGTTATTGACGATGAAAACATAAAAATATATCTCACTTCTTCGAAGTTCTGAGCTGTAATTTGAAGAACTGTATTTCAATTACGTTGTATTTGAATTATACTCGTGATTATAAAATAGTTAGCGATTGAATTAACTGAAACGTTTATTAATTAATTATTAATTAAAATCAATTATGTAATTGAATTTCAACGTACCTTATGCCGAGAAGCATCACAAGAGTGAATTCAAAGGTAGTTTATTTTGTTTCTGTGGAAAGTACCACTGTAACATTTACTTTGTCAACGTTTTGTCAAGCAAATTTAATCAAATACTTAATGCGAAATAGCAAAACAATTTAACAACACGAAGTCATTGATCCTCTGTATCTATGTATTATGACTCTAAAGAACTACGTGCAATCAAATTGTGACGATGACCGTGAATGTGTTAAAGGTTTGTTAAAGGGTTAAACAATTAGCTCCGGTATTTCAAAAAATTACTCTGCATGGAATATCGTTACCTTTGATAACCCGTATTTCGGTTACCGATCAATATATTCAAAGAAGTCCAAACTGCATTCGATGGACAGATGTATATGTATAGTACATATCTGCTGCAGCAACTAAAATCTTCCATTTCGAACATATATTCAGCTTTTCAAGAAACGGCATCTGACTGCAGGTTTTCTCTCGTGCATGCGGCAAGTGCAAGTGACACACTTTAATCGCGCGTGTCGATTCCGAAAAAGATTCGCGGAAAAGGGAATCTATAGATACAATCTCTCTTCGATCATGTTACCTGTCGTCGCGCGATGGAAACGGTGAGATTTGGTCATATTTGTGACAAACTCGTAGAACTTTCGATTAATTTAAGATGCAGCGATGAAACTTTCATTAAATCACCGCTGAAATTTTGCAGAATAAGTGAAAATAATAACAACAACAACAATAATGTAATAATAATAAAAATAATATTTATTATGTAAGTAAACCCTTTGTGATAAAAAATGTGATAATAGCGAGTACACGAGACAAAGATAGAAAAACAAGAAATTAATAATAATGAGATAACAATGAACGGAAATAGACTGAAACATCAGATCTAATATGCGAATTAGATAATAAAGATAATAGCAATAATAAAAATAAGTAATAGTAATAATAATAATACAAATAATAGTAATATAATAAGTAATAATAATACAAATAATAATAATAACAATAAAATAAAGAATTAAGGATGGTTGCGAATAAGAAGAAAGAATTCCGGATAAACTTTGACCATGATAGTATTGATTGAAGTTGATCTTTCTTTGAAAGAGTTTTGTTTGTTCCTTGTAAGTTATAACGTGTAATGGAATTATGACGCACAAATATTTTCACCCGTGCGTGTGATTCCAGAATAGCAAATCAATTCGACTCCCTCGTGCTAGTAGCTAAATAAATATTATATAAGTAAATATTGTACTCTGTGGAACATGTTAAACCGTACGAACATTGTTAAGTTCAAAACTATGTTTCATTTATTATACATGCACGAGAGCTACTACTATATATGTATATATCAATTCAACTCCCTCGTGGTAGTAGCTCTCGTGCATGTATAATAAGTGAAACATATATATGTATATAGTTTTCAATTGTTTTAGACATTTCTAAGATTATTTTTATTTATAGTGAACATACAAAAAGAAATGTTAACTCAAATTCGGACAAGTGCTTTATTGTCTAACAACTGATGTAAATTCGCAGAATAATTTAGTAACAGCGACTATACTGTTGTCTTTCACAGGACGCCTAGCATCGTTATCCACAATGACACAACTTTGGACAGTAAAGAAAACAAGAAAACTGTGCGAATATCGTAATAATTTCTTTTTTACAAGTCAGAATAAATTAAAAACCCAAACAAACATTGAAATATGCGGGGGGGCGTCGCCCGTCAAAGTCGAGTTTGGCACAGGAAATGTTTACGAGTGGAACTCGTTATTTCCACTTAAGGAGTTAACGATTCCAACGAGCTTAAAACTAGGCGTGACGACAATTCGGCAAGTAGTCAGCGTTATATTACTCGCAGAGGTTACGGGGATACGGTAACGTGCCGGGGCTTCGGATCGAAATATCCGTGTGTCCGCGGCATTAAATCGCAATTAATTCCGGAATATTAATTAGCCAAGAGCCGGGCCTCTTAAACGGTTCCCGAAAAAGAAGGCTCCGGCTCCACGACTCGTTGAACCAACGCCAGATAAATCTTACGTAATGCTGGGGCGTGCTCTCGAGCTTGTTTCCGCGTGTTTCGCGTTCCACAGGTCTGTTCCGTCCTCTGCGCGCGTCGAATCAATGCCGGGCCGATAACGAACAATCATCGGGATCATCGAAATCGCCGAGATCATCGGAATCTTCAAAATCGTCGGAATCGTCGAAATCGTCGGCTTTCTCTGTGTCCGAGGGCAGCGCGCCGAGCCGCGGTGAGAACGCTTCCAGCTTCCCACGATAATCAGCTACCGAAGAAAGTGCAAACCGCGGAGAAGTCGCGCGGCACCCAAGCCACAGGCAGGCCAGAAGGAGGACAAGAAGCGACCATGATTCATTGGGAATCGCTTGCGCGCGCGCGCGCTCGATCTTTGATCGATCGCCTAAGGAAGTAATCGTCGGCTAAAGCGCCGCGAGCTCAGTGGGAACATTGGGTTATTTTTCCGAAGAGGTCGCATACCTTCTGAGAGACATTCCGACAAACTTCAGACAGAGGCATCGAACTTGGCTTAGAAATCAGCTGGAGTGTTGGGGGATAAGTAAGGGGATAAATAAGGTGGGAGAGTGGCCAAGAATTTTTTTGAGCATGAAAATGTTCCTTGAAATTAACCTTGTATAATACAGGTGACAGGTGATTTCATGCATGTATGACAAGATTGTGTACTAACAATTTAAAATAATAGAAAAATTAAAAGAATTTAAGAAACTTTAGCTCGATAACTTAATCGTTGTTCGAGTAATTTCACTTTTAGTGATAATTATATTGGCTATATGGCCTTTTGCATATAGTCGCGTCGTTATTTATGTTGATGACCGCAAATTTCAACGATGCCTTGCATTTCTCTGCTTTGTTGATGTTCTTACACGGCTAAAGGAACTCTTGTTTTTTGTTTACATCAAGTATGGGTAATGACTTGGATGCCTGCGAAGAATGGAAGCGAAAGCATCATATAGAACAAAGATTAATGTACGTTTGAACATTTTTTTGTCAAATATTGACCTGACGGAAAGTAAGTTAACGTAATAAAACTTTTACTTTACAAATAAAGTATATATCAACATCTTTTATTTATTTTTTAATTTTGTTATTAGACTAACGATCTGCAGGATATTTTCACACATTTCTTTCGTAACAACAAGTATTTGTTTATTTGTGGTAGTTCGAAAACTAGAGAGCTACAAGTACACATTTAAAAAAGAAGAATGCAAGAAAAAAGTTTACAACAAATTGCATATGAGTTTGAGATATGTAAAGAAAGTGTTAGGAAGATATATCAAAAATTACGAAAGACATGTGAACCTGAAAACTTAATGAAATCGGGTTATTAGAAAAAAAATCCGTTTATTACTGCACAATAATGAAAAAAAAAGTCTTTGTGTACCAATATCGATCACGCAAATCAAATCTTATATTCGTGAAAGCGATATTTATGGACAGATATCTAGGAAAAGACCATACATTTCAAAAGTTATTAATTAATTTAAAATTTATTATTTTTTTATGTTGTATCTCACAGAAATATTCATCTTCAACTTAATCTCCGTTATATATGATGAAACACAAAATTCATTTTTTACTTTGTTTTATTTGTTGTTTACGACGATGAAATAAATGTTTTTGTTCCTAATTCAAATAGCATTTACATTTATTAAAAATTGTTTACCTTAAATTTCCGGAGTCAGAATTGAGCAAAATTTTATTCGGATAACGGATAAATAATTTAGTAATTTAATTAGTAATATTTGTATTTTATCATTCTGTTCCGTTTGAGTAAGATTAATACAATTATAAGGCTAAAAATCAGTTTTTAATTCTTTGTGTAAATTAGCTATCGAACATCAATGTTTAGTAGTTGTATTCTATAATTACCTCTTTTGTTTTCACACAAATGTTCTGAAGAAATGAATTTTATTACTGACTTTGTGTTCATAGGAACGAATATTAAAGCTTCATTGTAAAAAATCAGAGAATTGCATAAATATCTGTATTTTTCGCCGCTTCCAGGTACTCTCTGCCTTATAGAGTGCCTCATAGAGTTTATTACCGATCAGTATGCAGGGTTAAAGCAAACTTCGTACGACGATTTCCAAAGCAGATGCAAGAGTATAAGAATCGATAAGGATTTCGGTCGTGCGAACGAAAAATATCGTCACAGAATTATTTGCACGTTTTCGCGTTCCGATAATGCGTCTGGATTCGGTTGCGATACTCGAAATGTCCTACGCTAGTTTGCCGACGAACGCATTAAACAAAATTGGGAACAGAGTCAAAGGATTCAGTAGACGACGCAAATATTTCACTTCATTAAGTATTGTTTATTTGTATCTGTCGAACAATCGAATGATCTGTCAAATCATCGAATAATCTGTCGAATCACTGAATGATCTGTCGAATCATCCTAATGCACTCACAATCTTCTTTCCTAACTTCAACCAATCTATTTGCTTGGGATCGGCATCCTGGACAATGGATTCACATAATGAATGTCCACTAGACTCAGTATAAAAAGTATGCGAGAAATATGCTTACCGCTTCCGGAGCAGGAGCAGGCTCGGGCTCTGCGTAGCCGAAAGATATGAACGCGACCATCATAAGCGCGACTACGTTGAATATAAGTTTGAAAGCCTCCATGATGTTTGCTGCTGCTGGTACGATTCGTATTGGAGAACTGTAACGTTCGCTTCGGTTTTTATTCCACTCGAAAATGCAAGAAAATGCATCACGATAGATAATACGAATATTAAAGATACATTAATAATAGCATAAAATGGAAAACACGATTTTGCACTCGCTCGTGCTTAATCGTTTAGTATATTATGTCATGAAGCTTGACACGTTTTTGATATTTGCGAAACAGAATTACGCAGAGCAATTGGACAATGTTGTAAAGTTACGCAGCCTGGCGATAAAAATGTAAATAAAAATTTATTTAGGCAGGAATTTGCCCGATTAAAATTTTATTCGCGAATAAGATTTTATGGGAATAAGAATTCATACGGAACTCGTACAGAGAGAGAGAATTTAAGATGAATATATACATATAATCTACGAAAGTATTAATTTGGAGTGCACAAAGGGGCGAATGTGATCTAGAAAAATCTTAATTTTAAATGCATATCCTGTACTTATCGTCCTTCCATCTCATTCATTTTTCACCATTCTGTCAATTTGATATCAAAAAACAAATTAAGTTATAGAAATGAGAGAAACGGATGAGAGTTAATTGAACCGACTCTTTTGAAAGTGACCTCAGTCCTCTTATTTTGAAATCCAGATATTTCAGAATTTTGCATTTTAATAAATTGAAAAATGTTGGTAACTGATAACATGGTAGTATAATGTTTTAATGTTTCTAACGGTTATCGCGTTCTAGAGGCTGAAATGTATAACGTAGAAATGTAAATATTAAAATAGCTCGATGTTTCTGGAAAATGGACTTGGGTCATTTTCAAAGTAAATGGCTCAATTCGTTTTCACTAGTACCTTGCATATCAATTTTTCAGTTTTATTCTCACCCAAATAAAAGTAGTATCGTTATTATTATCATTAAGCACCTTGTAAATGTTTCAACGATACCAACAGAATGCAAAGAACAATTAACAGTTGCTTAACTACACGGACTAGTTCTCAAGATAATACTAAATAGTCCTAAATTAACTTTTACACATATATTATTTTTGTTCCTGGTTGCAGACATAATGAATGATTCGCAAGGATCCATGAAAAATCGTCTGTACCGATTTGTTAAGTTTCCTACGAGCTCGTTGACATTAACATGGCCGGTTAATGGAGAATTAATTGCACTCCTGTGTACGCTAACTTGCTAGACCCGATACTATCTCGCAGCTGACAAACTAAGATTAATTTATTTGCTGCACAAGAATATTCTGGAACGTGAGGATCGCAGTTTCTTCGATAGCTACCATGGGAAGATAAGTAGCTTTTTGCCTGATGATACATCAAATGGAAAACTCCGAAGAAAGTTGAGGATCTCGATAATCTTATGTGATGGCGGCATTTGATCAAAGGTGAAATGAATAATGTCGTCGTTGATGGCAGAAGAAATGAATAGTTCACGACGCAGGATTGAATACGCTTAAAACCAGTACCCCATACCTGCATCTTTACACAAAGAGAGTTGTTTTACTCAGAATCAGCCTGTTCTATTTTTATCACCGAACAGTATGTTTAACCGTTTCCATTAAATGCAATCGAACTTTCGTAACTCGATCTTTTAAATTAATTTCATGTATAAATTAGAAATAAAAATGAGATTTCTATATAAATTAGAAATAAAAATGAGATTTTTATATAA